CACGTATATTGCTCAACACTTTCTGATGAGCAAATTGGTCAATATTAACTGAAACTAGATATAAACAAATATTTGTAAATTTTTTCATTACTTTAGTGGGAGTTTTCAACCCATTTAATTGATCTAAATTATAGTTTTTATAAAAAATAAGAAGTTCATCGTTCTGGGTAATATCTTCAGAACCTTTTAACCTAATTTCACAAAATTGGCATTTAAATTTGTCTAAAACTTTTTTTATCAAGTACCCAGAAAAATAAACGGTACAACAACTCTCCAAATAAAATGAATTGTCGGAAAGAGAGGAAACTAATTTAGATTTTAAAGAAGTTTCCACGTTTGTTTCCTCTTCATCATCATAGTTCTCTTTATCTTATTCTTCTTCCTCTTCCTCTTCTTCTTCCTCTTCTTCTTCCTCTTCTTCTTCCTCTTCTTCTTCATCTTCTTCTTCCTCTTCTTCTTCATCTTCTTCTTCTTCTTCCTCTTCTTCTTCCTCTTCTTCTTCCTCTTCTTCTTTCTCTTCTTCTACCTCTTCTTCTTCATCTTCTTCTTCATCTTCTTCTTCATCCTCTTCTATATTCATATTTTGCAAAATATCGTTTGACGTAGAACAACTCTCCAAAATATTTTCATCATTGTCTGGTTTTGAACCAGCATTTGCGGAAACTAGGGGCTGCATAAAATTATTAACAATATTTAGTTTAAAAGATGATTTGAAGCTCCGCGCTGTTGGATTTCTATCGTAACCGCGTTTTTGTCTGTATACCTACAACTGATTTTCTAGTGGGTCTTGAATAAGGCGACCAGTAAAAATATACCTGTATCTAGCTTGTTTTACTTCTGTCCAAAATTGCTTAACTGTATATATTGTTATTAAAAATCCATTAAAAATGTTAGGTCGGATTAATTTTCCCTTGGATTTTTGTTTGTACAGATTTGATATTAAATCATAACCTGAATTTAGAGCTGTGACAACCTCTTGATTCTTATCACAATACACTCTCTTGTAGGGATTTGATGCTCGGACACGTGTACTATTTAAGGCATCGAAAAGATTATTCATAGCCTCTACAAAGAACGCAATATTTTCGACAGTGCTAGAATTTAACTGCCCTGTTCTCGTAGATGTTTTAATAGCAACTGCAACGCTGTGACTTAATAATTGTGTGGTTAATTTAACACTCATTTTTTGAAAGACATTTGGGTGTAAGTGTCTTTCTGTAACTTTTAAAAGAGCTTTTCCAGTTTTACTGCGGTTATCAATTTCATACACCTTTTTCAAGTCTGAAAAACTAATAAATTTTCCATTATATAAGAAATTATTATCAATAAAAATATATCTGATACATTTAAATAGATGAGGAACATCGTAAAAAGTAAATATTTTTTTCTCGTTAATAAAAAAATATGGACCATTTTTGTTTGCCCCTAGCAATTTAATTACTGTTTGATTGGTCGTTGAGAGATCCCAGACAATACCAACTGGTTCTAAATTAATATTAATTAACATTGTTACAGCCTTAATAACAATAGATTTTAGAGAAATATAAGTTCCATTTTCAGACAAGAAATATCCAATAGGTATTTTCCATTTGGAGAATACTCCTCTGATCATTAATACAACACTTTGAGTTGCAGCTACTGCTTTTCTTTGATTTCGTCACAGATCTTTAAATCCTTCAATGATATCTAATTTAGAATTTTATTCAATATTTTTTTTTATGGGCATCTCATCAAACATGAGTACGCATTTTTTCTGTGATGAAGACATAGATTCTGTTTTTAGTTGAAGATTTTTAAAAGTTTTGTTAAATCCTGGATTACAAATAAAGTTGCTAATCCAGCTTTTAATGGTCGATACACCAGGGAGAATTATGCCTTTTCTGCGAAGAAATTTATAGGTACTAGGTCCTTTATAAAATAAGGACTGCAGTTTTTTTCTCTGAAGGTAACCAAACGCTTGTCATTTTGTGGCGTATTTGTATATTAACGAAAGATCTTGAGAACTGTGACATGGTATATTAAAATGTTTGTAATCTTGCTGCCAAATTAGCTTTCATTAACTTTTTCTTCATGTCTCTAAGTTGAGTTTTCAGGCTATTAATTTTCTTTTGTTTAAAAGATTTTACGAGGGTTTTACCCTTAATCTCATTAAACAGAAGTTGGTGTATAGGTTCGATGATGTGTCATAATTGGTACTTTCTCTATCTAAATTATATTAATTAGAGAGACGGAGGGAAGAAGAATAACATGAAAATTAAGGATGTGATGAAAAGGTGTCCCCCTTGCAATAAAAATCGCCTAGTTTTTGTGTGTTTTTTTTAATTATTCTTCAAGATATTCGGAGATACGGCCGCTAATAACTCTTAATCAGAGATACAAGAAAATAAAATAAATACATAATAAGAAACTTTTTTGGGGTAGTTATAGCCCATCTTCCAGTTACTCACCATAGTAAAAATAATAAAATTTAGAATACTAAAAATGTATCGCAAGTATTTTAAGTTTACCTACTACCTAACTACCTGCAAATAAAAACAGCACACAACTGCCAAAAGCAGGTAAGCTCCAAAAGTAGGATAGGGCGCACATATGCCACAATTTTAGGTAGTGGCCGCAAATACCACGGGCGCATCTACCATAGATCAGTGGTTACGATTGTTCTGTACAATAGAAAAAATGAATATTACTCTTAGCACAGACTCTTGGTTTATTTACGATTTCTCTATTTGCATAATTCGGCTCAGTAATTTTTTGTACACAATATATACTAAGCACTACATTGGTCCATATAGCTAAATACACTGCATACTAAAATCAAATAAATTATTTAAGTTTTTTAAGACATACCAACAATAATTTAAAATATTTAACAAAATTTCGCTAAGTATATCACAAATGAAAATGGCATTTTTAGTGGCAGTTTTTAATTTACCACTTCACCACTTACAACCGGAGTTTAAATGTCGTAAAACACCCTGTATTTTTATCAAATCTTTAGATTTGTGTAGTTGTCTTTGAAATTTGGCATACCTAATTATATGGGAAAAGCTTTTCTTTATTATTTTTAAAACTTATTGCTTCAACCAAATGTTAGCAACTATTAAATTGTAGGTATTTTTTTAAAAATATTATTTGTAAACTTACGAAAATGCACATAGATTAAAGATTACTTTGCAGATTACATTACATACGTATTTTATCAAAAATAACAGTATAACTGGCTACTTACTTTTAACGGCAACTGGTTAGATACCTACTTACAAAAAAAAAACGATAGGCAATAAATGTCTAGTGTTTATAATTATTTATAACACAAAAATACAAATGTCTAGTGTTTATAAATATAACACAAAAATGCACAATTTTTAACCAAAAACTATGGTTTGATGCAAAAAACTCATTTATACCACCGTGAGATTGATTTTCAGTCGGCGGGATGTTCGTTTTACAAATACCTACTTTAGGTAGGTAGGAATAGGTATTCATTCATGTTTCTGAAACCATACTTATATTTGAATTAGTAGGTATTGGGTACTGGAGTTATAAACATAAAATTTATAATTACTTTAATCATACCTACGTAGGTATATAGAGGATAGAGGTAGATAGGTATCCTACCTATATCCCTCTATCTACCTAAAAAGTTAATTAATTTTTTTTTGCATAAATTAAATCTCTTATTTTGAAAAAGTACCTATTCCTACCAAAATTGTAGGTAGGTAGAATGTTATGATAATTAACGCACGAAGTTTAATTTATAAACTCGTAAAACTACCCTGCTCATATATTACCTATATAATAAAATATTATATTTATATTCAATTCAGGTAATAATAAATCTAATCTTAATTAGGTACATAGAAATATGTAAGTCCTACATAGAGGTTTTAGGTAATTATTCAACGGCTAATTATAGCAGCTGATAGTAACAATAATAAAAACAACCAGCCAAGCGCCTGATTCAAATTTACCTAATCTAATAACAAAGAGAAAAAGATTTGTTATTTCATGCATTCTCAAAAATAATTGCAGGTAAAATTTCCTTCCCTACATATTTCTTCGCTTCGATGCAATGTTGCCATTTAAATAATTTAAGGTTTGTTTTAATTGATTTTTATTTAAAAAGACAATCTGATTTTTTATTAAACTCTGTAGTCTCGGCTGTAATATAATAATACAATAATCAGTAATTTCGGTAATTAATTTAGATATAAAATTTCTCCGATAATTTTTACTCTGGCAACAATGATTTTCCTAAGTAAATCATTTAGGTGGACTAAAAATGGTAACTCATCCATCCTCTTTTGGAATTTAATTTTAAATGAAATGATACATGGATAGAAAATGGCGTTCATTATATACTCTTGGGAACTCAAAAATAGTCGCCATCTATTTGCTGTCTCCGAAATATTCAAACCTTTCGGTCTATGTCTCTGACCAACTATCTCTACTCTTTAAACAATGGTAATATGGTACAACTCAAATAAAATATTTTTTATTATTTTAGATATTTTGTCCGAATTTGATCGGACAATTAGATAGCGGTCAATTGACGGTTAGTTGAAACAGCAAAAAAAGTCTAATTACCTCTGCTGCCACAATTTACAATCACTCAAGGCACTGCCATGTTGGAAATACATTACTAAAAAAGATTATATGTACATAAATCAGTCGAATGCATTGTATTTTCTTTTATTAGACATATATTTTGCCTTAATAATTTTAATACTATATTTTCAATTTCTTTAAATAAAAGAAGCAACTGTAATTAACACGTGTTACATACGTAACACTAAGTATAAAACTGATAACAAAGGCACACACTTAAGAGTATTTTTGTTATAAATGTGCAATTTTTTTAAGATGTTACCATATAAAACTCGACAATAATGTAAACAAACTTTGTGTGCTTACCGGCGGCCATATTGGATTCTTTGAATGGACGTTTTGGAATGCACAAAAAGGGTAAGCATAAAATATATGGTTGCAAACATTCATACCTGTTTATTTCATTCGTAAATGAATCCAAGCCAGACTTGTACTGTCGATCTATCACCGTCCTGATTTTTGCATCGGTAACCACTAACTCTTCGATTTTTTCGACTACTTCGTCATCGGGCGTATCAATTGGCACATCTAGGGCTTTTGTTACGGCTTCTTTACCTATTTTTCGACACTCTTTTATTATTTCGCGTCGTCTTCTATCAGCACGTTTTACAGTCAAGATATCATGTACGCCTAGCGTGAAGCCTTCTTGTTGCAAAAACCTCATAAATAGTTTGGCGAATGACGAAAGAAGGCGGGTAGCGTAGGTTCCTCCGTAAAGCTAAAATTTGGGAGTTTAAATTTTTTTTTCTTTCGTTTAAAATTATTAAGAAGTCAGCATTATCAAAACGAGCGAATATAATTTTAAACTTCCAAGATAAATAAGATCTTTTCCTTAAAAATCGAAATTTATACCTCATACATGCAGTGAATAAGACCATAAGGAGTGGCGCCATAGTGAGTTTTATCCAGAATCCCAACAAGCAATTCTCCACTTCGTATTATAACTTCAGCTTCAGTCATTGTGTTTTCGTCTTCAAATGGTGTTCCGCCTGCTTTCCATCTTCTAGCCGGTCTCGAACTCCAAGCCTAAATATACAACTTAAATATACAGGGTGTTTTAGAGGATATTTCAGTTTTCATATGTGCACTACACTGACCCTGTACAAGTAGGGTGAATTGTGATGATTCGAATAGGTAACCAATGAATGCGGATTTTAGTTACCATGACAGAATGGTCGGGCGCGCATCATGCTTTTGTGATAGAAGTCTATTTCAAGGGCAACGATTCATACAATTCGTTCTCATATATTTTTCTCTACCTGGCGTTATTTATTTATGGCACTTGTCGTTTTTCAGAATCATTGCACCCATGATTTCACAATATATAGTGTGTCTGCTATTCGCCGAACATTGAAGTGGTTACAAAAACGATGCTCACCAGATCACTCTGCCATGGTAACTAAAATCCGCATTCGTTTGATATTTATTCGCATCACCGCGTCCCTCCCCACTTGTACAAGGCCGACGTAGGATGAAAACTGAAATGTCCTCTGAAACACCCTGTATTCTTATTGTAACTTTCATTTTATAGCATTTAGAAAATAGGAACTATTACTAACTTGAATAGGTAAACTGTAGACTTACTCTTGCTGAAATTTTGGATCCAGATGTCAAATTGATGAGTTCTCTACCTTCTGGAATAACGTTGATGATAACCGTTGATAAAATCTGCTTTCCTGACCACAAAACACGCGGTTTAATAATCGCCGGTGGTAATAAAGTAATTTTGCCTGTTTTGAAAGACAGAGCTTGGAATACCAGTTGTTGATAATCGTTTCTGAAAGAACAGTTTTATATAATTTGTATATCAATTTATCAATAACTTACTTTTCGAAGAAACGACCTCTTAAAGATATACGCACACCAGCGATCATATGATCTTGAATGAGACCACTCAAAGGTGTACCATCCTTGGGTACTAGATATTGATTAGAAACATTGACTGTAATAAAAAATAGTCATAATTAGCTGCATTAGTGTGATGTTATTTGTGTGCCAAACAAAATAGTTCTTTTTAATAGCGTTTACAGGTAGTAAAGAAGTAGTTTAATTATAGTTAACCACATTATTTTTAATGTAATTGTACTTTTAAATGAATAGGATCTTGAAAAGAATAGAAATAAAATTGAATTTGCCACCAATCCCCTATTTTTATTTATGGTTTTACAGAATTGATTACGAAACGATAAGTTAGTTACTTTAGGAATATATTTTAAAAATTTATTAAAATGCTTACCAATATTGTACCCTTCGCTCCTGGCAACTTCGTTTTGAGGGAAATGAGCATTCATTTCGTCGCCGTCGAAATCTGCGTTATAGGCCTTGCAGTTGGCGTAATGCAACCTTAAAGTTTTTTCTCCTTTCAAGATTCGTGCAGTATGCGCCATTATACTAGGTTTGTGTAGAGTCGGTTGACGATTTAAAAGCAGTATGTCGCCATTACATAAGTGCCTGTGTACCTAAATAACACATAATTCTGTAAAGTGTGTGTTTGCGGAAAATTACATATTTCACATGTGTGTAAGTCAACGACGAACAACTACTAGACTAATTTTGTTTACAAAAATCAAATTGCAGATATTCACGGTATCGTCCACGTAGTTGTCAAATTAATATGAGAGTTGTTACAAGGATTGTTTATGGTTATAATTCAGTATTGACTAAACATAAGGCTCTAAAGTGCACAAAAGCATTCTTAATGCCTGTTATTACCAGTTTAATGCATTTTCTCGTTGCAACTATTATAGTTGTTTTTCAGGAAAGTACGTAATTAATGTTGAAGTGTGAAAGCAGAGTAAAGCAAGCGTAGTAGACGTAAAAAAGCAAAGATAAACATAACATAAACCATACCCACTCAACTTAGCAGCTGTCTACGTAATAATAAACACAATTTTAATTTTATTATTTATATCGATTGGGGCCAAAATTTAGGGGGGGGGGTTAAAGGTAATAAAATCTTTGCAACTAGCACCTTCTATGGGGTAAGTGATATTATTTAGGCTCAAATTATGATTTGTCATCCCAAAAACCTCGGTGTACTAATTTTAAGCCATGTAGTTAATAAAACAACAAAAATATAACGAAAAACGTATTTTTTAAATTAAATTTGTCACCCTGTAAATTGAACATGATGGCCTCAATCGAAAAACATAATAATAGAGGTTCCTTACACTGACTTAAGAAATATATGGTTAACGGATTAGCCTGACACCCTGTAGAAAGTCATAACATTGAATATACTGATACAATAAAACTTCTGGGGCAGCGGCCCGGCTTAGCAGGTTCTTTATTGTGTATCAACATCTACAGTCATGCAGGGTTACCCGCAGTTAATATTTAGATGTGTCCAAGGAAAGTTAGCATACTTTACAGTTAACTATATCTAAATGGAAGCAAGTACTTGTTGAAAATAAATTATATTGAGTGTGACTTTATTAATCTATTTGCAGATGATACACTGGTAGCATGTTATGGGTATAACCTTGAGGAAATTTTAAATAAACTGAATAATCTATTGAGAGTCTTAACCCAGTTTTTAAATAAAAATAAACTTAATACTAAAAAACAGAAGCAATGATTTTAGGAAGTAAATATAAATTAAATCAAATAAACTATAATAGATAAAACATTAGAATTGAAAACGAGAATTTTGAATGAGTTAATAATGAATTTAAATACTTGGGATTTATTTTAGATGAAAATCTATTATTGAAACCTCACTGCGAATATGTATGCAAAAAAATATGAAAAAAGCTATTTTTCTTCTCAAGGATTACTTCAAATCTCTCCCTTTTTTTCTAGATTAACAGTGTATAAAACTATTATACAACCTCATTTTGACTACTGTGGATCGTTACTTTATAAATTGGAGAATAGCTGTTTACAAAGACTACAAAAATTGCAAAATAGATGAATGAGAATAATCCTTCAATGTAACAGATACACACCAATAAATGGTATGCTGACGATTTTAAGTTGGATTTCAGTTAGACAAAGATTTTATTACTTAGCAATGACTTTTGTTTATAAAGCAAAAAATAAAAAACTTCCTGAGTACTTCAATGATTTTATCATCTACTATGATGAAATACATAACTACAATACAAGATCTGTTAATAATTTTTATATTCCACAAACAAGACTAGCTATAGCAACAAAATCTATTTTTATATGTGGATTACGTGAATTTAATGCTTTGCCTAGTGAAATTAAAACGAGTACCTCTCTACCTTAGTTTAAAAAAATGTTTAATACAATTTATTTCCAGTCTGTAAATTAACTTTGTAACTTTGTATGTTTACTTTATGTTTACTTTAATATGTATTTATTTTATTTTAACTTTAGTACTAAACGTCTTACTTGTATTACTGATTTTATTACTAATTCTATCAAGATTTTATTATATTCATTCAACTGAATTTGTGCAGACTGACGATAATATGTAGTATTTTTAGAAAAACTACTATGTATTAGGACTTCCTATATTAAACAAAGATTCTTATCTTATCTTATAAAAGAGCAAACAAAAACAAACTGCTCACGCAGTTGCATACCACAGTTGGCAGGCGCTATATCAATGAGTACGATATAAGGTGGGGTGTGTCATTTTTTAGATGAGATATAAAGCCGTCTGTCCTGAGTCCATGGATGCTGGGCTCCTTAAAGATCCTTACCTCCGCTTGGAACACCAGACGATATGCAATCATTTCTGGTATTTGGGGGTAGCGGTGCTCGCCAGCGTCGATGTTTAAACCTCATAGAAATGGGTCGACGTTAAATAAATAATTAAAAAATAATACATCTTCTAGGCACTAATTTAGACAATAATTATAAATGTAATATAGAATTGATAAACAAAAAACGTAAAAAAGAAATCGACGTCATATGTCAACACTGCTTGTGGCTAAGATACTTCTGGGTGAATATAACCAGGGAAGATCTGAAGCCTGTACCTGCCTGAGCAAGAACAGGCTACGCATTGTAACAGGGAACCTTACCGAGCATTGCAGACTCAAAGGACAACTTAGTAGAACATAGTGAGTGCAGATTTTGTGAGGAGGAGGAGGACGAAACCTCCATTCACATTCTGACCGAATGTGTAACACTCCAGAATTCAAGGGAACTATACCTAGGAGCATATCAAATAGAAGAGGGAGATTTACCTAACTTGAAGTCATTGCAAATCCTACACTTCCTTGAGAAGATATGATATTGGAAGGGTCGTTATAGGAATCGATATATTTCCTTGCTGCATAAGCGGCACAGTAGATCTTTTAAGTCGCAGTGTAATAACATCCCATTCCCAACATAACACTGCTGGTAGAAATATTACTTCAATATAAAAACCATTTTTGGAAACGAAAAATCAGGAAAAAATTCAAGAATCAAAAGATTTTTTTATTTTGGCAGAGATACAAATTTTACCACCCCATTGACACAAAGCAGTTTGCTTGTTTGGGGTTGTATAATTAAAGTTGAAATCGAAATTTTTCAGTATTTAAAAGAAAATAGCCAAGATCCTTACTTTAGATAAACATCCAACAAGAAAAACACTTGTTTACCGTCAAGTACTTCGCCGAATGGCACCCCAAGGCGGAATAATATTTGGAAATTTAGTGTTTAAAGGAAATAGAAAATGTAAAATATATATTTTTAGTAAGGTTTTGTGTTTTAGGGTTCCGTACCCAAAGGGTAACCAACAGGCCTCTGCTGTCCGTCCGTCTGTATACATAGCATTAAATCTTGTACGATGGTGTGGAGCCCTTTATGCGCGAGTCCGACTCGCACTTGGCCGGTTTTTTTTATTAGTGGCAAAATAGTTTAATATTTTTTTTTAATTTTAATAGCTTCAAATATTTGAAGCCCTTAAATGACCAAATAGTTTCAATGAAGTACTTGAAGCCCTTACATTGCTTCAAAAACAAGTATTTGGAGCTTAGAACTTTATTTTTCAAATACTGTGTTTGGTAATTAAAGGATTTTCCAATTAAAACTTTAAAGCACCTTACGAAAGTACTTGTTGCTTGGCAATTGAAGCACTTTGAAGGTGTTATAAAAAATAAAACATGAAATAATCATACTAGTACTTTAAATTTTTAAAGTTATTAACCAAGATGTATAAAATCATAGATAAAGAAATGTCATTATTAGAGATTTTGACCTATGTGAACTTGTCTGTCAAATAACCAATTAGAACCTAGCGTTAAGGCACGGAAAATTCAAATCGCTCCTCCTAGTTTAAAAATGAGTAAAATAATATGAGAAAAGGATGTCCACAAATGGACAATAGGATAGGAAAGATGAAAAAACAAGATATTTGATGAACCATAAAATAGGGTATGAGCCACAATATTTTACATGCACAAACAAAAACAAAAATTTACTATTTTATTTATAAATTGTTTTGACCTTATAATTATTCGATGGCGTGTGTAGTTATCCCAGACATAACTTCATATATCTGCCTTTGTAGGTGGCAAATTATAAGTACTTACAATTTTAACCCCGTATGATCTGCCACTATTATCATCAGGTGTCAGCAACATTTTTAATAAACTCTGCTGCTGTTGTACGCTATTAGCATTTATTCTTTTCATAGTCCCATTGTATTCCACCATAACTGCCCTAGAAATAAATTAAAATTATATAAAAATCGTTTCTGCAAGTGATGAAGCAGCTTTTGAATCCTGCTCGAAGGACCACGAAAACGTTTGTTCAATAGATCTTTCCCATTATTCGACAATTTCGTATTACTTATGCGCGAAAAAAGAACGGGAAATTTGAATGTAGTAATTTTCCAAACACTTTTTGCTATATCTCTCTTATCCTCGCCTTACAACTGTTGGGTTGGCTACGACGATTACCCCATGTAATCGTTACTTTAAACAACTATCACTATATAGTTGGGAGCCAGTGAAACTTTTTGGGTACACATTTGCACAAGGCTAAATTATAAATATGTCGTTAATTCTTATCCTGTAGAAGATGGAAACACTTTGCTGCAATGCGGTGAATGCAAGCAAGAATGTACTGTGAACTGAATTTAAAAAGTTTTCAACTATTTTTTGATGTAAATAATACCTAAAAGTTTCAGGTTTGCGCTTTTTGACCACATTTTTTCTACACAGGCCTTTTTAAAATGTCATCGTCGAGGGCTCCATCGCTGCACCTCAAACTATTTCCATGTTCTACAAGGTATAAATGAACGAAATATTTGTATTTATTTTACCTTTCGCCAATAACACATCTAAAAGTGTTACTGGCTCCCCTACGCAAAAACAAAATGACATTTGCCGTGTAATTAGAACTCAGGGTAGGAAACATAACACCAATAAATTTTGATAATTTTAAGTGGAAGTAAAATTTGCACATGAGTAATAAAGATCTTCAATAACGGGAAAGGCCTATTGTTCCCTTCTGGCATTTAAACTGAATTACAATATTTTACACAAATATTTGTAACTAATAACTTACCCTGGATGAACATTAGGTCCATTTAGAATCATTTTTCGTAATTCTTCAACATTCCATGGTGTAACTGCTACAGGATAAGTCAATTTTTTAGCAAAGGCCTCGGGTATACCAATTTCATCAATATTTAGGTTAGGATCTGGCGTTATGACAGATCGAGCGGAAAAATTTACACGTTTACCCATCATGCACATACGGATTACACCTTCTTTCTTTTCTATAATCTGCAATATTGTAGGTACTCGGTAAAAATAAATGAATACAAATATTGCAAATGGTAAATGTAATTAATATAATTAGAATTCTTGGGTTAGATTCTTGGAATTAAGATTTGGGAATTATACTTGGTTTTTTATGTTTTTTTCATTGGTTTTATTTTTGATTTTTTTTTTATTAATATTTCATATTTTAAATTTAGAACAAATTTTTTTTATAATTTTTTATTGATGTTGGTAATGTTATAAATGTTTTATGATTATTACAAGAGTCTCATGTGGTCTTTCCTGTTCATGGCTGTTTTTTTTTATAACAATTGGGCCAGGATTAAGTTTCAAAAGTTGACCACCACTTTTATGAGTATGGATAATTTTTAGCACTTTTTTCTCTTTTGGACCTCCATTAGACTGGATATCAAGAGTAAAAAAGTGAATTGTGGAAACTTAAAACGAAAAAAAAAATGAAGTTTAATTCCCAAGAAGTTGGCCTAATTTTCTAGAAAGAAAAGGTTTAAAAAAGAAAATTAGTTAATACAAATCACCTTCAAGAAAATGTAATTATCTACCTGTTTTAATCCTTCCCCATCTCTATTGCGATTGTTCTCCTTATCTAACAAACCGTTCACATCATTTTGAAGTTCCTCCCAACAATTATTTAATTTTTCTATTGGAGAATTTCCCCTAGCAAAGCTAACAGCAGCCTAAAAAGTCAAAATTTCCATACATAAATAGTCCATGTTGCAGTTATCTGTTTGAAAGTGATTATTTAAATATCAGATTCTTGTTACCTTTGCCTCTGCAGAAGTTAAAGTATTTATGTCATCATTCTTCTGTATGACTTGTATGATTGCTCTTAATAAAATTACATTTTGCATGATATTTTTGTATCCAATTGATTGTTGGTTTTCTAATACCCTACCATTTACGAAATTGACCTAAATGGAAATAAAAACCCAATAACAATTTTGAAGTGATCTCATCTTCTATTTAAATGTGAAGTTAGCTACTTATTACTGATTAATTTTTTACTTACTGGCCTAACATTAGGTGGAGGAACTGGTAGTACTTCATAGTAAAAAGCATCTGTAGGATGTTCAAGTTTAATATCAGAAAGTACAGAAATAATTTGTTGAAGTAACTCATTTTCTGCCTTCCAAATTTGCCTCATATATTTTCTAGATTCATCTGGATTTACATATTTGGATTCTAAACCTGTAACCTTTTGGCTCATTAAACTGTTACCAGATTCATTTCTAAAAAATATATTTATATTTGCAGTTTATGAAAAATTGTAGGTGCCTCTTAGGATAGATTGAGCAAATATTACTGAAGTGGGATAATAAAACTATAATGAAGATACATAATGCTTGGCATTCTATATTATACTTTTCTAGTTTAACAGACCTCCCATTACCCCTCATTTTTGCTCATTTTTTTTTTTTTTTTTTTTTTTTTTTTTTTTTCAGAATCATCATCCCCTTATAGTGCTTAATTTTTCCTGAAGATTTCAAGTTGATATCGTTTTTTGTTTACGAGTTAGGATTTTTTAATATTTCAAACCCCCCCCCCCCAAATGTTATTTAGATTTTTTTCAGAATCTACTGGCTTCATTCCCTTATATAGATTGATTTTTAATTAAACATTTCACATTGATATCACTTTTCGTTTTTGAATTATGATTTTCTTATTAAATTTCAACCTCATTGACCCCATTTTAATAATTTTTTTCAAAATCAATAGGCTTCGTCTCCTTATAGAGCTTGACACGTGACATCGGACAGATGGACGTTTCTTTGGTTAACTTTTTTATTTTTATAGGGTAGTTCAAATTCATTTTTTGTCTGGTTGGATATGGATGCTAAAGCTAGTTGTCTGTAATATAATTGATTTATAGTTTTGTTTCAGAATAACATTCTGTAACAATGTTAGAATGAAAATTCGATACAGGTGGAAGATTCTGAACAAGTATCTGATTTTCATTCCAACAGAGTAACAGACAGTAGTTTCTCCACGGCCACAGACACAGTAGGAGTTGAATATAGTAAAATGAAACTTTGAACAAAATTAAATATTTAATCTAAATTATGTTAGGGAAGTTTTTATTTAAATTATTTGCATAATTTGTTAGTTCAGGAGGAATATTATCAAATTTCATATAAGAATCATATTTACCATTTTAAGTTAAACTTAACAAACATTGCTTATCTTTATTCAGGCAAATATTAAAACTAAATACTAATACTGTAGAAGTGTCAATCATGAAATTCATGACTATCTACAATGTGGTCATGGTATTCACAGCAATGAACATTCTGTCTCTAGAGTTGGAATGAAATACTTGCAAAATACTTAAGAGGAAAGCGTTTCAGAATTTTCTTTCCATCTCAAGAGTGAGAATATTTTCTTTCTGTTATTATAAGTTAAGATTATCTTGGATATACATTTAATATTAATTTTTTTTCAGGCACTTCTAGCATATTTGATATGTTGTTGATATGCCATAATTTAGATGATACATGATTTTTTTTGTTTGTAATTAAGAAAGGGGTAACTTGTTTGAATCTAAACAGCAAGAATCTCAATGTTTTTATAAAATAGATCCCACCTTAATATTGTAATACTAATATATTTAACTTTTTTGCAGGTTTTATAATTATATTATTATTAATGTTTAGATCAAACTCTGAAAGGGATGATGTTAAACTACTAAATGGTAAGTATTCTGTTTTGTTTATATTTAATGATAAAGCTCTGTGGTCAAACTATTTTTTAAGTCTTATTAGGTCAGCTTCAACTTGTTCTTTTAATGAAAACCAATCAAAATTTTTGTAAAAACGACAATATCATCTGTGAAACTGAAAATAAATATATTATTTAGATATCGTATCATGAGATACATCGCACTTTATTTTTTTTTTTTTACTTTACTAATTAATTATTCTAGTATATTGTCGCCAGTTTGTTAAATTATTTATGTTTTGGGGACTCGATTGGGAAGTTTTTCGATGATCTGTAAAAACTGCTAAGGATAGTATGCTGTTATCCAAAGAATCATAAATAGTTTTCTGGTTTTGTAATACCTATTACTGCTTTTTTAAATTGGTGTTACTATGGGCAATTTAAGATCATCAGGTTTTTCCTCACCTGCCTTGTTATGTTTATGCTTTTAAATTATTGTAACCTTTTGTTTTTCAGTGTAATTACTATATTCTTTATGTCCTCTGCATTTGTTGGATTTGTTTTAATACTTTTAGCTAAATTGACACCAATATTTACAAGAGTCATTAAAAATTTCACACATTTTGATTATACTAATTTTTAAAATGATAATTTTTTCGAATCTGGGGCTTTTAGTATTTCGTTAATCCTTTTCTACATATTTTTTAAATTGTTTTGATCTCTATTTATTTGGCTTTTGTAATAGTTAATTTTTGCTTGCCTGCTAAATAAATCCATTACTCATAGGATAAATAAACACACAGGTACAGTTCAATAAATAAATACACTGCATAAGAAGTTAAATACTTACAGGTCATTTTTCCTGGTGACTAAAATAATTTTATTCTTCAAAGCTTGAATTTTATTAATCCTGTGCTTGCAAAACATGCAAAACTGTCTAGCTTTCACCTCCTTCAACATACTGTTAATGAAATTATTTCTAAGAGTTTCAGTGTTTTGGTTTAATATGTTTTTTCCATCTAAACTCTCTGCAAAAAAGTTACCATATTACTATTATTTATATACAATTTAATTGTCAATTTGTTAAACTTGCCTAAAGTTTCATGAGCTAATTTTTCATATTTTGAAATTGGAGCTAAACATTCTGGTGGAATATTTTCAAATGATGAATATTTTGTTACTAATTCAGTAACTTGATTTTCTACTAACATTGCTTCTGTGACCATTCCACAATTTAATAGTTTAATTTGGATACATAATACCTTCTTAATATGAGCTAGAAACAAATAGATAAAGTTTTAAAAAATTCAAATTCATATTTTCAATCACTGGATGCTTACTTGGAATTTGAATATGGTAACAAGATAAACAAGAAATTTTCAAAATTGTGCCTATTATTTTATGGAATAAAGGATTTACTAAGGGTAAAGGCAGTTCAATATGTCCAAAATGGCCTGGACAATTAGTAAAAGTATTGTTGCAGGTAGCACATAATTCACCCTTGTCAGAACATGGACCTAAAATAGTTTAATTATAAAAATATGTATCACTAATAAAATTGAATATTTACTGATTAAGTATACATATAATTAGCAAGTACATTTATTACCTAATTTATTGTCATACAATCCTCCTGGCAAAGGATGGCCTAAAGCATCTAACATGAGTGGTGTAATAATCTTGCACACACTCATTCTTTTAATTTCGGGTGTAGTAAATATTGAAAACCTGACTTTATCAGGTGTAAGATGAATCTTCATATTTGCTGCTTTTTTCTTTGGATAGTTAAATTATTTTTAATTCAGTTTTGTTAAGAAAAATATCTTATTTAGTTTTCCTAACCCTAAAAAAGCATGGTTTTTAAACTTTGACAGTGACAGTGGTAAGAAAAGTTTGGTTAGAGTTTAGTAGTTTAAATAACCCTCTTCTTTTTCAGGTGATAGTTGTCTCTGATTATAAGATAATCCAGTTCCTCGGGTAGTTCAAACATTAATTTGATAGTAAAAAAAATTAAGTAAAAAATAATGCTTATTTGTATGCGAGGAGAGAAAAAAATAATTTTTTCTTCAAGAATACCGACCACATTCGAGAATATGGATAATTTTTCATTCTTGAAGTTGGTTGATACGCAAAAAAGGATTTTTTTCTACACCTATCAAAAAAACCGACTATTTTTTTTTCCAAAGAACATTGAAAATTCGTCAGAGTATTTTAAAAAAATGACCCTGTGAAAATATGAGCTCTTAATATTAATATTTAGAGGTGGCGTTTTGTAATTTTCTATTTCCCATTTAAATAACATGAGAAATTTTTTTTAAACTTTGGAATTTTGTAACGTGATAACGAGCTACTTTATAAGTATGACGAAATTACCCCTTATAGGAAATTTAATGCTCTACAAAAAAGGTCTGATTGACTTTTTGCATAAATGCGTAAAAAAATTTATTGTAGATTTTACTGCTAAGAAGTTAACTAGAAATGTATATATCTTGTATTTTACTGTTATTACTGTCTAATCTATTAATAAGTCAATAAATCTGTTATTATTAATTAAAATGGATTACTGATACATAATATAAATAAATTTATAGTAAACTTCTACCAAATTTTTTCAGGTAAGTGAATATTTTTTGCTAAAAATCAATAAAAATGATCATTTATCAAATTATTAAGAATTTTAGATTTGCATTCCATCAAATATATGCATATATTTATTCTTAAGTTAATAATTTTGGGTTTTAAATACATATAAATTTATTTTTTTGTATTTAAGAAAAAATCTGATGTGTCCAACACATGACTTTCCTATCTAATTATTATAGGCGTTTTTCGGTTATTTTGTACAACCTATTGCAGCACCTCTATAAATGTTTAGAGGATAAACTAAATAAATACATTTTCCACATACATATAACTCGAAACATTTTTCTATAGATATTAATTGAAAACGAAAATAGTGAAAAATTTAAATTTAGCACTATTCCTCCAATTTTTCTATTACGGTGTATTTTAGAAAAATCATGTAAAAAACAAAAATTATAGAGATCGATATCGAAAACAACTTTTAGTTTAACAATTTTCTTAAAAATTCGAATTTTGCACATTCTGTCCAATTTCTCGAATACGAATCATTTCAGAAAAATTTAGCATATAACAAAAATTATAGATACTAATATTAGAAGTAATTTTAAGTTAAACAATTTTCTTCTCTAAACAAAATAACAGATATATTCCATAAAATATAAAAACAGCCTCCCATAAACTAACCCCCCAGATGTTCCGACTTTGTCCAAAATCTAATCGTTTCACGTTAAGCCGAAGTAAAACTTAAATTTAAAATTTAATGTTTTTTCCTTTATCTGTTTTTGAGTTTTCTTCAAAATTCGAAATTTACACATGTTCTTAAATATCTCGAATACGGTATATTTTAGAGAAATTATGTATAGGATAAAAATTATAGAGAATTATATTATAAACAACTTTTATTTAAACAATTTTTATGAAAAATAATTTTTTTACATTTTGTCAAATTTCTCGAATACGGACCATTTTAGGACAATTTGGTATAGAATAAAAAATATTGTAAGTAACTTTTATTTGAAGAATTTTCTTCTCCAAACGTAAATAACAGATATATTCCATAAAATATAAAAATGACCACCAATAAAGTACCCCCCAGATGTCCCGACTCTGCTCAAAATCTAATCAGTTCATTGGACACCGAAATAAAGCTTAAGTTTAAAATTTGGTGTTTTCTTCATATCGGTTCATGAGTTATGGTGGACACACACACACACACACACACACACGCACGCACGCACGCACGCACGCACGCACGCACGCACGCACGCACCCACGCACGCACCCACACACACGAAAAAATCCATCGAAAACTGGAGGTCGAAAAAAATCATGATTCCTATACTTTCCTTATCTGTATACAGATAGGAAAGTAAAAAAAATCATAATTTTAAACATTCTGAAGTTTGAGGCTCGATATCTTTGAAACGGCTTGACTTACGCAAAAAGTCAATTAAACCTTTTTTGTAGAGCATTAAATTTCCTATAAGGGGTAATTTCGTCATACTTATAAAGTAGCTCGTTATCACGTTACAAAATTCCAAAGTTTAAAAAAAATTCCCATGTTATTTAAATGGAAAATAGAAAATTACAAAACGCCACCTCTAAATATTAATATTAAGAGCTCATATTTTCACAGGGTCATTTTTTAAAGATACTCTGACGAATTTTCAATGTTTGGAAAAAAAATAGTCGGTTTTTTTGATACCCTCATATAGGTGTAGAAAAAAATCCTTTTTTGCGTATCAACCAACTTCAAGAATGAAAAAATATTTGGTTTTTTTGAGACACTCTAATATGGATATTAGCTTATCATATTATTGCCTTCAACTGAACGAATATATTTCATATCCATTGCAATAGGTGTAAAATCGGAACCAAAACTCGAAAAGAAATTCAATGACTCAAAATGTTTGCATATAAATCGACTAAGAGTATTGCCCAGGCGGGAATTTTTTATTTAGTAGTTTTACCTCAATTCAGTTAATTATTGTTTTGACATTTTTTTTACGAATACTCGGAGTAAAACTACTGATAAATAAAATGCAATTTTAATTGTAACATCCCAGCAAACACTGACATGTTTAGGGCCATACCTACAATCAATGGCACTTTTTTACTGCATATATTAAGTGGAAATTAATGTTATTTCAATCATACTTTTCTCAAGCGCTTTTTAAGCTTATTTTTCACCTGAACGAACAATAATAACATTTTAAATTACATCATGTTTGCCGGGCCAGCACTACGATGTTTATGGATTGTTCGATTCGATTAAATTCACAATGTTGGTATATCTGTCGGAAAAAAATTTACACAACATGCGTGGGTTGTGTCTTATCATAAGCACCGTATACTTTTCACTTCATGTTTATTTGGGTGTGCAGGAGCGTGCGGTCCATGGAAGCGGGGGAAGCACCGCTTCCCTACACTTTGAGATTCAAAAATAAATATTTTTCAGTTTACAATGCATAAAAATTAATATTAAATTAGGTACTAGTAAAGGGGCAGCACTGATTCTGGCACAATCCTTATGTAAATTAACATGGAAAATCGCTAAGGTTCAAAATAGCAATTTTTGTCTAAATCAAGGTCACACCATCTCAACTAACTCGTCGAGCCACCAACGGGGGAGTGGGAAAAACGGGGTAGTGAGAGGAGTGGGGGGAGTTAAATTTCGTCGAATAGAAAAATCATGCCAGAAGGGCCTTAGCGTATATCTCAGCTATCGTTGGGCCGATTCAAACGGGAAAAACGGCATTACGTAGAGATCGTGGTATAGATTAAGGTAGAAGAGAAAAATCATGCGCAGAACGAAAAGCCACAAGGGCCTTAGCGAATATCTCAGCTATCGTCGGTCCGATTCAAACGGGAAAAACGGCATTACGTAGAGATCGTAGTATAGATTACCGTCGAATAGAAAAATCATGCGCAATGTCACAAGGGCCTTAGCAAATATCTCAGCTATCGTTGGTCTGATTTAAACAGGAAAAACGACATTACGTAAAGAATGATGAACATTGAACAGAAAACTCATGTGTAAAGCCAGAAGGGCCTAAGCGTATATCACGTGGTCCGATTTAAGCGGGAAAAACGGCATTACGTAGAGAATGATTAACGTAGAAGAGAATTTTTATGTAAAGCCAGAAAGGCCTTAGCGATTCAAACGGCTACGTGTAGAGAATGACATCTAGTTGTCATTTCGCACATGCGCAGTTCATAATGCCGTTTTCATATCTTTGTTAATATCGATCGGATTTGAACGTTGAAAATGGTAGATGACACTGTCATCTAGATGGCATGTGCACATGCGCAGTTCAAGGGTCAGTTCTCGCTTGTCACTTTATATCTTCGTTAATATCCCATCAGATGTCTTGAACGATGATGGCGATCATCGTTCACGTGAACTAACCATATACAAGATGGCGGAGTCAAAAGGACCTGTCAACTGTCAAGGTTCATTGCTATTGGTCGGAAAGGAATGGGGAAACAAACAGTTGATGTATTCGTTACGTTTCATTACGTTTCGTTTCGTTTCGTTACGTTTCGTTACGTTTCGTTACGTTTCGTTACGTTTCGTTACGTTTCGTTACGTTTTGTTACGTTTCGTTACGTTTCGTTACGTTTCGTTACGTTACGTTTCGTTACGTTTCGTTACGTTTCGTTACGTTTCGTTACGTTTCGTTACGTTTCGTTACGTTTCGTTACGTTTCGTTACGTTTCGTTACGTTTCGTCACGTTTCGTCACGTTTCGTCACGTTTCGATACATTTCGTTACGTTTCGTCACGTTTCGTCACGTTTCGATACATTTCGTTACGTTTCGTTTCGTGGACAAAAGGACCTAAGTCTCGGTGGCATGTCACCAGGTGCAAAATGGTCAAAAGGATCTTAGGTAGACAAACGGATAGACAGACAAAAATACAGATAAAAGGACAGGCAGACGGAAAGAGGAGACAAATATCTCCTTAAAATTTATTGATACGAGGATCCAAAAAGACCTAAACATTGAATAATACTTAGAAATCATGTAGAGAGCAACACACGCCTAAGAACAAAAACTACTGAAGAAGAAGATGAAGAGTGAAACGTTGAAAGGTTGATATCCGTAGAAATTTATAGAAAAAAGAATGGAAAATCGTAGAAATCTTTAAAGAATACACGGTGCTGCATTACCAAAGGGGCCATAGTTGGTTAGTACAGAAAATGTAATAACCAAGGAGACATTACTTTTCTGGATCTCTGAATACGGGAAGGTAGCAGTCAAAAGTTCAGTATTTGAGAACAGGTCTAAGAAGTCG